ATTAATAAATGGAAGGGTTAAAATATAGAATTTTGGGATATATTTTTGGAAGATGCTAAATTAGTCAATTTGATTTTGATACATCAATCAAGGATCGATGCAATTCCAAAGACAGTAATTAGTGTTTAGATTCCTTGATTCTATTCTAAATTTTGAGCGGTGTAGAACAACCAAAATAACTTTTAATTATTTTGTTCCTTTTTATTAATGCTTTCGTAGGGTGCATCACATTCTTAAATCATTGTTGTGATATTACATTCTTAAATCGTTGTTAAATATAAACCACGTGCCCCCACATTAAACCCAAATTTTTTTATCAAATTAGTTTTATAAAAAATGAAATTGACATTAAGTTTTCTAAAATTTCGAGCCATCAAGTTAGTCCTATAAAAAATTTAAATACGAACGTCTTTTGGGGGATAAGAAAATATGCTCAATCTGATGTAGTGACTATGAATCCACTATTCATTTACTTCTACACTATTATAAGGTATGCCTTATTTGGATGAAAGTGATGTCGCTGGAACAAGTACACTGGTAGCCTAAATCTATAAACATGTTAATTACTATATGAATGGAATTAATTGAGGTTAAATTCTAAGACATTGATTTGGAAAGCTCTACGAATTCTCAATCATGTGGTCTGCATTTATAGTTTGTAACGATAGATGTTGAGTTCAATTTGAAAGACTTTGAGATAGATAATGTTGAATATATCTGAATATATCTGAAAGCTCTACTAGAAGGACTGTCCTTATTCTATTAATTGGTCGAAAGGTACTTAATTACAGTGTGATCAAGAATCCAAAAAACTGTAAAGAATGAGGTCTGAATGTGACACCACCACCAATTGATGATCTCAAATTCAACGTTGATGGAGCTATAGAGGGTAATTCGAGATTGGCTGGTATATGTTGTGTAATCAGAAATTTTGCACGAATGGTGATCTGTTGTTTCTCAAAATCTATTGGAATATTTTGGGCTTATGAGGTAGATGTACTTACTGTTTTGAATGTTCAAATGTTTTGTTGTGATTATGACTTGAAAAACATCGTCATAAAAGAGTGATTCCTCCCTTTTGCTTGGCGGGGTGAATAGTGATAGTAATAGAATAGGCCATGAAAATTGTTGAATGACCTCAGTATATGGAACTGACATGTTAATTGTGAAGAGTTTATGTAAATTTTTTTGTTGTAAACTATATAATAAGGGAAAATAATTACAAAGATTGCTTTGGAAAACGGGTAGCAATATTTTGGGCTTATGCATATGTAAAATGCGTTAAAATTGCCATATGTTGTCAGAATCAACTTGATTAAAGTGAAAAAATTTTTTAACTTGATTGGTAATGCATTAAATCTTTGAAAAATAAAACTATTAAATTTTATTAAATTAATCTTTCTGGAAAAGTAAAGTTTTGACAAAAAAAAATGGTTTTTATTAAATTAATCTTTGAATGATCAACTTAGTAGCCTAAATCTTTTGAAAGATCAACTTAGTGACACTCAGATATTTGGAAAATTAAAATGGTTTTTTGAAAAAATAAAAACAAAAAAAAAGAAAGAAAGACGAAGAACATGTTAAACGAAGATTCTTTGAATTTTATCAATTTATCAGTCCAATATATATAACTGTTGTGTACATGGGAACAAACTAAATGTCCCAAAGAAAACCCCTTTGGTTTGTGGGCATGTTTGTAATTCTGTTTGGATTAGCTTTTAATTAAGTAAAAAAATTCATTTGATCCAATCATAACAATTTATTACAGTTTAGTTTGAATCAAATTAAATAACACTATAGCTAAAGAATGTCATTTCTTTATACACACAAAAAAAAGCTTCTAATGGAATTGGATTTGAAATATTTTCTAATGTATTTTTATTTTATAAGTATGTGATATAAGTGTTTCCCTTTTATTACATATAAAAATTTAAACATTTTAGTATTTTATTTAACATATAAATGTAATTCATGTTTACACGCATTAATTTTGTTATATATATATATATATTCGTGATTGCCTAATCATTGATTATTTATATTTTATAGTGATTTAAATATATTACATAAATAATTGATATAATATTTAAAATTTATAAATTATGAGTTAGTATAATTCCCTTTTTTGTGTATTTAAAAGTTGTTAAAATTTTAAGATTATTTAATTCATGATTATATATTTATTAATACTTATTATACATTTTTAAAATTTTGTTTCTTTAGCTAAATTATATTTAGTTCGTGTTGAGTACATACGATGTGAAATTATTTTAATTTTATAAAAAATATAAGATAAGTAGAATAGTAAGAATGGTAGAATTTTTTAAAGAGACACGAGAATTACTTTTGAAGAGATTAAAAAAATTATTCAAATAAAATGTGAAATAAATTTAACGTAAAAGGATTTTTCTTTTGCTAATCAAAGAAAAATTTATTTAAAATTTAAATTATCTGTTAATCACATAATTTTTAGCTGTATCGTAGTTCCTAATAGATAGACTAGAGTTATATGTTTATTTGGTAATGAAAATTATAATGATAATTAGGTTCTTCAACTGTATGCAGTTAATGGACACTTGAGTAAGGATTAAAGATTAATTTATAAATAAGTGTTGATAATAAAGACATATTTTGAAAAATTATTGACTTATTTAAAACAAATAAAAATACAGTATAAAATAAAAGAATCATAAGTTTTTAAAAATTGAAAATTTATATATTTAAATTAAAAATTATTATTTAATTTATAATATCATATATATTAATTGATAGAAAATTTATTAATTTAAAAAATAAAAATTATAGCTAATAAAATATTACAATATAATTTTCTAAGTCTTACACTCTTGTATATAGGTCGAACTATTCTTGTACTTTTTTAATTTTGACGTGATTTTAAATTAATATATAAGAATTAGTTAATTATGCTATGTAATGATAGAAAAATTAAGAATTCACTCAAATAATAAGATAGATCTTTTAAAATTTTAATTAAGAGTATAATTTTATATTTTAAATATAATAAATATTTTATTTTTGATTAAAAAAACGTTTTTCAAGAATTTCATATAAATTAACATATTTTACATAAAAATATCATATTAAATATAAATTAAGATAATTATATATTAAGAATTATAATGTTAATACTAACACTGATATTTTAATAAGATAAAAGGTAAAAATATAAAATTAAATAATTTTTTTATTAATCAATAATAAGTATTGTAAAAATAAAATTAAGTTATAATATAATTTTTTAAGATAAATTTTGGCATATTATAATTAATTAAAATATATATTTAATCATATACTTGACACACTTATGAATTGATTTTTATACTTAAAAAGTTAATACTTTAATCTTTATTATTATATAATCATGAACAAAAAATTAAAATATATGAAAACTCGTAAAAGAATTAATTCTGTGAGTGGTGCAGACTAAATATAGTTTAAGCTAAATAATTATAAGAACGAATTGTATTCTTCTGGATAGTACGATCTGACAATAGTTTTTTCTTATGCACGTTATCATCTCCTGTAGGTTGAAAGTGTGCATTTAACCGATAAAGGTTGGTGCAACTTATTTACTTAAATAAAATTTTAAGTTTAAGTTATTATATACGTAAAAAAATTTTAATAATAAATTTATTAATTATATTTAAGTGTATGATTTAAATTGGATGAGAAAAAAAAATAGTATCGCATTTATTCTTTTAATCCTTCGATTATTCATATGGCATATCATTGCATAATATATTATTTTCTTTGTATTTGATTCACTAATTGTTTTAGGATAATTAATTTAAATATTCTTGGATTTAATTTTATTTTCCTAACCAACCAACTGATTCGAGCGAGGAGTCATGTGTAAGTTTTGAGTAACTCTTCTTGTCAAGTTCTTTCACCATCAACCATTTCATTTGTACTTTTTTTTTAAAAAAAATTCAAAATTTTATCATTTATCAACAAACATATATATTTTCTGATAATATAATATTATAAAAGAGGAAACATAAAAATAATTATAAGACCTATTATTGTTTATATAGAAGCTGTTATGTTTATATTTGTTTTCTCGTATATTATTTACTAATAATACATCCCTTACTGCCTCAACGTATTAGTTAACATAGTATAATTAGATGTATATCATGTCATCATAAAATAATAATAGTAATTGATTTTAAAAATAAGTTTGTTAATATGTTCTTAATTATTAATTAAAACTTAATAAAAATTATAAAAATAATTTCAATTTTATTCTTAAATTAATATCTTTATACTTTTTAATAAATTTTAATTATTAATTATAAACTATTAAACTAATCGTTGAAAAGTAAGTCACACTGGCATTGCTCTTTATTCGTTATTATTTATTGCATGGCGTCACAGGGCATTATGTACTGGCCGTGACGCAAACAAGCTGAGCAAAAATTGCAGCAAATGGATTCGCAGCCCCTTTTTGCAACAGTATTAGATCCAAGCCTTATCTTAACGAATGGCTTGTGATATAATGTATTTTTAGAAATTATTTTAAATAAATATATTTTTAAAACTTATTTATTTATATTAAATTACATGACTTTTATATTAAATATTTAATTTTTAATTAATTTTGATTTATTTTCAATATATTTTTTATAATTATTTTAAACATCAACTCAGTGTATCAAATTACATATATATTTATTATTTTTAGACAAACTAAAATTACAGTAATTATAACCTTAATGTGAATTTAATTTTTAAGCTTTTCATAATAATACACTATATTAATATAATTTTAATCTATAATTATCAGTATGGCACAGCCAGTAGATATAAATACACTCTAAAACCCATATCGAACCGAATAAATACAAGTTGTTAATTAGAATAATATATATTATTTATTAATATAGATTTGCGTGAACAAGGATAGGAAAGCACTAGATTCGTTTTCTTGCGTCTATAAATAGTTTGGCTTCGTTAATTGGTACATTAAAGTAGTCTAATACAAAAACAATAAGGGTAGAGAGTAACTTAGCAGTGAGATCAAAATGTCAAGCCGTTTGATGAGACAGATCTTGGAACTGATGCAGGCTGAGGAAGCAGCCAAAGGGTCCATTAATTATGGTACTTCAGGCTCATACAACAACCATGGAACTTCAAACTCATTCAACAACTCTGCCGGCGGCGACCAGGATTTCTCCAATGCAAGGATTAACAGTGGAGCAAATTCAGGTGACCGTACCAGCTACCGTCACTCCAACCACTACGGTGGTCGCACTATAAATAACAGTGGTAATTTCCGTGGCAATGGCAACGCAGGCTTTGTCGAAGGTGGCTTCAACGCCTCAACAAACAACTACTATTAATTATCTGAATTTCACATATGCTGAGCACTGTGTTCTACTGTGTTATGTTACCCTACCAATAATTAACGTAGAGCTATAGCTCAAATGGTCATTAATAATCAATTAATGTAATGGTTTTTAAGTGCATGTACTGTGGTGCTTAAGAAGAAATCTCTGCTGTAATAATAAATCTCCTTTTCGCTCCCTTCTTTTTTTGTTTTCCGGAGAGATCCATATTCTATTTTCATGTTTTTAAGGGTTCGTTTGATATATGCGCTATATTATAGAAAATGCATACTTATATTAGAATATAATTTATTACATTTATTTGTGTGTGTATATATATATATATATATATAAATATAATATTTTTCAAATCATTTAAAACTTTAAAAAATTATTAAAACATATGCAAGATTGAAATAGAATTAAAATTATTTGACATGTTAAAATAAACATAATAACTTATAAGCATAATAAAATTAAAGTAAAAAATAATATTTAAATCAAATGTAACTGTATTAAATATTCGAAAAGAGAATTTTATAATAAATTTTCCTAACTCAAACATGATTATTTCTAAAAAATAAATATATGTAGTATAAAAAATAATATTTAAATATTATGATAAAAAAGTCATACAATAAAATACTTTTCTAAGCATGTTATTTTTATGCATCTGTTATTCTATTTATTTAAAAAAAATTATAATTTTACACTTATTTCTCATATTCATTTTTGTTTTTTTAATTTCTTCTATTTTTATAGTATTATATAATTTTCCTTTATTCAATTGTGGGACATACATAGAGAAGCCGGGATTCCTTAAGCATCAGATTCATTATTTAATTATCTCTACACAAGAACATGCCACACCCAAATATATATAAAAGAATATATTATACACGAAAAAATCAAAGTATATTGATACAAGTTATATTATTTTTATGTTGTTTAATACTAGTTATTGGATAACTTAATTCTAAAATTAATTATTAGGTTAAGTTAGGTCTACAAATTTTTAAATTAATTTAAAATTAGGGTCCTTTCAGTTATCCAAGTACTGATCTGGGCAAGGTTCTACATAGAACCCGTCGAACCGGTATATGGTCGCCTGGGGCATGTCCTCACTGTAGTAATGGTGCAGATGCTAACACCGACACAAACACAGGAGGTTCAAACCCAACCTTGAGCGACGATGCAATAAGTCGAATCCTCAGACGAGCTGACTTGTCAAGAAATGGAGACCACCCTACACTGGCCTTATCAATCCTAGTGAAATCACTAATGGTGTTCCGAATAAATCTATCTTCATCTTGATAGATTTCTCCGGTGCAAAAATCAACAGTGGCCCAAATTCAGGTGACCGTACCAGATATCGTCACTCCAACCACTACGGTGAACGCACTATAAATAACTGGTAATTTCCAGGGCAATCGCAACGCTGGCTTTGTCGAGGGTGGCTTTGACTCCTCATCAAACAACTACTATGAATTTGATATATGCTAGTGAAATCACAAATTGTATTCTGAATAAATGTATCGTCATCTTGATAGATTGTAAGTTTTAAATTATGTTATGGACAGGACCGCTTCTTGACTTTTTGAGACTCTAAACAAAATAGAAAATTATAGTTTTTTAAAAAAATTATAAATTATAATAAACAAAATAAAAGTATATATTAATAATTTTATTAAAATAATATTTTTTTTAAGTGGCTATAATTTTTTCTAATAAAATTATAAAAAAATATTCTTTTATTCAACCAACTCTTATGTTATAATTAATTCCAAAAACACAGAAGATCATAAAAAATAAGTTCTACGACCATTCTGAGATGGAAAATTAACAATAATAACATTAACATTAATATTTTTTAAAAATTCTTTATCGATTGATAAAATTGTGAGACCATTCAACGGTTTTTGTAACATTGATAACCTTAGGTAGGTTTTGATTAACTTTGACTTTACAAAACTTCTTTCAATTGATGATATAGTCATCGAGACCGTAAAAAAAATTCTATAATTGATTAAAACATTTAAATAACAATTTGTAAATTTGACAAACTCAATAACTATTTATTTTTTTGGAGAAAACTAAAATTTTCCATGTGATTTAATGTTAAAAATAGTAAAATTTTGGAATTAAATGAAGTTTTGAATCTACAGAGGTCAATGAGTTGATTACATTTATAGCAAGTGAGGTGCGAGAAATTAAAAAAAATTATTTTTCTATTTTTTTCAATTGCAAACTGTAAGAGCTGAAAATTTTTTTAAGTAAAAGTAAGACAATTTTTTTTCAAATAAAAGTAGGATACAATTTTTACTTTAGACCATCTTTTAAGTTTGGGCCCTAAGTGATCGTACCTCTAAACTACCTTCAAAATGGGGCTTGGTTCTGGAGCTTATGCAATGTGCAAATATTTTAATTTTCTGTTCTATGGGAATTACAGCCTCTTAGCTTGTTATTATGGATCAGGGATCGACCACGGGATGTTATGATTTTCTTTTATCAATCACACTTGCGTGCAACACCCATGCATCAGGGATATATTGTATAATGAAATGATTAAATATATTTGTATAATGTAAGATATGTTATATATTAATTTAGCTAATTAAATAACATTAATTCGTCAAAAAAATTATTTATATAATATTTATTGTTCAATTTGAAACATTTCCTTCTTTATCATAAATTAAAATATTCAATTCCTTTTTACATGTAACAAAATGGATATACCACTGATTGGGTAAACTATTAAAGAAGTTTTATAAAAAAAATTAATGTAAAAAATAAATAGAATTTCTTTCATAAATTAATTTTTTTTATATTTTTTAAAAGAAATTTTGAGAAACTCTCTCATTTAACATTTTTAAAATTTAAAAAAAAATATATATATATTTTATATAGAATGGAGGAAAAGCCCAAATGCAAAACAAACTAGGCACTAGACCTAGACAACATAGTTCCTACAGAATTCATTCTTAAAAAAGGTTCAATGGAGGAAGGAGTCTTGTCAAAAACAATATAAAACAAACCAAAATTAAGGCCTAACTTAATTAATCATTCAGCACATTGATTTGTTTCTCTAAAAACATGACTAATTATAACAAATTTGATCTTTTTAAGAAGGTTTCTAATACTCTTAATTACAAAGTAAAAATGATGGTTACTTTCTTGAATATTAACCACTAAAAAAATAACTTCATTTGAGTCACATTCTATCTAAATATCATATGAGCAATTTTCCACAGAAAAGTAGTAATTTTGAGAGGACCCTCCCACTTTTAGACTATATCAAAAATAGAATTTTGCAATTCTTTAGGCTGAGCAAAATTATCTATAATCCATGTGTGGAACGTAGACTATGGAGCCTAAATTCCTTTCTATCCCTTTGTCCCCATTGTTGGTGCTTGTCTTCTTAGGCATCAGATTCATTATTTAATTGTTTCTATGGTATGATGCAACACCCATATCGACCCCAAAAAGATAAAAAGAATATATTATACCATAGTTTTGTGATATTGTGGACATATTTCCCCAAATATAAATATACAAGTACATGATAAAGTGGGAACAGAGGTGAATTAGAATAAATATACTGGGGTGATCTTCTGAATCTTTCTCACTTTTATTGTTAATTGTTAAACAGACTCGAAATTACAATTTTGTAAGTTTTAAACAAGTTTTAAAACATTTTATTCAAAAGTCTTAATTTAAGGGATCATTTCAAATTTTAAATATTTAATCTGTGTATAAATCTAAATCTCCAGTAAAAGGATATTATAGAATTTGAAGAGGCCAAAGAGGAAAAGAAAATATTTTGCATGGACAATTCTACAACGACTAGAGTCTACCGTGAAGGAAAAATACTACAAAGTTTGTAAGAAAAATATATTGTAAGTTCTTCCAAAGTTTAGATGAAATAATTTCAGCTGTATAATTAGAAGAAGATACAAAGTTTTACGAGAAGAAACATCATTATATTAAAAATAATGAACGAATTATTTGTCATAATTTTTTAGATAGTCCAACCAAACAATAGTGTCTTCTCAAGTTATCACGCTCTTATAAGTTGAAAGTGGCAAAATGGCATTTATTCTTTTAAATACATCTATCGATTAATCATCTGACATGTCAACTGTGTAATATATTATTTTCGTGTTACTTGATTCTCTTCGTGATACGTGATTAACTGTTTAAAGATAATTTAATTCAAGCCATCCGTTAGACTGATTCGAGCAAGGAGTCATTTGTCGTTCTTTCACGATCAATTATTTCACTTTTAGTTATTTTTCTCAAATTCAATTGTATTATTATTTTTAATCAAGAAACATATAATATTAGTAAAGAGAAAACATAAATTATTGTAATAACAATAATTATTTATCTTATTTTTGTATTTTTTTCCTTATAACATAATATTAGTATAAAATATTTTAGTCTTTCTAATTAAATTTGATTTTAGTCACATTATTATCTGTATATCTTGTCATTATAAAATAATAATAGTAATCATTTTTAAAAAAAATTATAAGAATTAAAATCATAAAAAAAGCTTTTTAAAAAACTAAAATAAAAATAATCATATATATAACAATTTAAAATAATTTTAAATCTATAACATTCTTCGTTGACATTAAAGGATCTTCAAATCGACTTTGTTTTACAAGAGTTTTTCAACCTTTTTCTTATTCAAATTTCTGTTAGTGTTATTACTGATAGGAGCATAACTACTCAAGGATACCTTCTTCAAATTGAAAATAGTGAAAACAATATATATATATATATATATATATATATATATATATATATATATATATATATATATTTCTAGTGTTTTCTATGCAAACTTTAAAAATTAAAATAATTTTTCGGTGAAATCAAATAGTTACTTAAATTTCAGTTAATCAACATTTTGGCTAACGGAGAGTAAATCAAACAATAAACCCATTGGTACATGATTGATATTTTAGTTTCGTAGAAAAGGTGGCACTAACCTTTTGTCCATTCCTTAACTTTTATTGGTTCTTGTTGCTTGCATGGCGTTATGCTGCATTATGAAATGGCCGTGACGCAAACAAGCTGAGCACACGTTGTGTGGATTCGCAA